CTGAACCGTGAACCTAGATAAGTATTTGAGTTGGTCCCTCCTAAAGTTAGTTTTCCCCAGCTCTATTTCTTCTGCTCTTCTACCCACTTACATTAACCATCTTAGATATGGATTTACCTGGTCTGTCTGTCATATGTAAGCGGACTGCACCACAGTTAATTTTTTCAATTTGTATCAGTTCCCTTTTCTTCTGTGCCTAACAGTGTACCATTCAATATCTATTTTGATCAACGTTTATTGCTGAAAGCATATGAATAAGCTTTTCTTTTATTTTCTATCTATCTATCTTTCTTTCTTTTTTAAAGAAACTAGAAGTATCAGAAATTTGTTGCTCCCTAAAACCAGTTCATTAGAGGTTTCTGTCATTTTGGCCTCGTGCACATTTTGACATGAATATGACCACTCAGGAACAAGCTCGAAAAGAAAGAGAAGAGCTGGATAAGATGCTGGAAGAGAATAGGAGGAGAGTGGAAGAAGCACAGAGAAGAGAAGCCTTGGAGCAACAAAGGAAAGAGGAGGAACGATTTCGTGAGTTAGAGCTGATCCAAAGACAAAAGGAAGAGGCTGCTTGGAGGAAAAAGCTGGAAGACGAAGAAGAACATGCAAACCAGATGAAACTGTTGGGTAAGAATAAATCTCGACAGAAGCAAACTTTTGGAATTGGTTTATGACAACAGTTAATTGCCTGTATGTTGTATCCAAGTAAGTAGGAAGTGATGACTAGAGTTTTGACAGAGAATTGAAGGTAGGTTGTCGCTAAGGTATTGGAAATTTGGAATTGGCTTTATTTTGCTTATTTTATTCCCCTTTCCTCTTTAGTGATATAACACCGACTTTTATTGATGTTCTATTTCACTGGATCAAATATCTATAATCCCAGGAACTGCAGCAGTCTTTGTTGAATGTCGTCAATCATGCTTACAATTAACCTTGCGCTGAAAATTGACACCTCGGTCGTTAATTTAACTATAAATGGTCATGAATTATCTCAAACACTGGAATTATTGTTTTGGTTCTGCCTCAACAGCGCTCAAGAAGACAACAAGCAAAGAAAAACATAATTGTTGCCGAAAAGGGATGTCATCGTAAGAATTCTAATTAGTATTTTTTTGTGGAAATGTTTTTCTCTAATGTGATGTACTGTACTTTGTACTTTAATTAGCTTAGAAAACCAACATTTACAAGGAAAATCAGAATCTCAAGTTCAAATAGAAAAGAAAATATAAAATTCAAAATTAAACTACAAATCTCAAAATAAAACAGAAATATATTGAAATTGACTCAAATAGAATCATCTGGGTTTAATTTGAGGGTTTTCTTAACCTACAAACTCAAATAGAATTGATTTTGTAGAATTATTTTGCAAAATTTGAGTCTATTTTAATGGTTGAATTTAAAGTTATGTGTTTTCGTTCTTATTAAACTATTTGTTTGGTGTGAACAAGCCTCTTTTTAGGCTTTGGTTTGTCCTATCAGTTTAATGAATATGCTAGATTTTCTGCATGATCCACTAGCAACATATTCACAGCTAGTTTATAAATGAGTATGCTAGATTTTCTGCATAATCCACTAGTAATATATCCACAACTAGCGATTCAGAACTATCATATTCTTTATACTCACCTGCATAGATTGTCCTACACATTTCAGCTAAAAATTCTCCCTTACCCGCAAGTTTTTTACAAATTTTTATATTTTAACTGAAACTGATCTTACCATAAAAAAATATGGAACTGTTGGCTGTCTTTCTCATCTCTTAAGATTTGCTTTGGTTGCGGTTATATCATCATACAAATTGCCATGAGATTTTTGCAACTTAGAGAGTCTTCGAACATCAAATGTCTGCTTACTCAAGCTTCTATATTCCTTGATCAAAGTATAAGATGCTAAAAGCTGCAAGGCTTACCCCATACATGACTTTCATGTATTAGAAACTTTGTATAGTAGGTCAAATGTCTATTCTTTTCTTTTTGATCAGCAAATTCTCTTTACATTCCTTAGGGAGTGTCTGAATGAGGGTTGAGTATGAGGTATCTTCACTCAAATTCCTTCCTTTGACCCAACTGAAATGCTTCATCCTGCTAAGAGCAGGGGTCGGGAGAAAAGCTTGCGAAACCTTGTACTGAAAGGAAAGCCACCCAAAACACACGCACTGTAATAGAGTTTTTTATTTTTTCCAGAGCTTTTCGAATTAATCAGCTGAGTCCATCCTATTAATAGATGATACTAGTACAATTCAAATCAATTCAAATGAAAGGGTCAAATTGAAAGAAAAAGAAGTTAAATGGCTGGATTTCTTTTTTAAAGGACCCAAAAAAAGGAAAGCAGTGGACAAATTCACAATGCTCTCTCTCTTAATCCACTTGGAGGCCTTTCCGGGTTTTTTTTAATTAATTATTTGCGAAAACTAATTTATGACGCATGCTTTTTTGGATGTATAACGTGCTCCTACCCTTTCCCTCTCCAACACAAATGTCTATACCATTTTTTGCAAAGGAGGAAAGTTTTTTTTTTTTTTCAATAAAAAAGCGAGATGTTAAATTTAAGGGCTCTGCTGTTTAGACCTTGCTCACATTCCTCCAACTCAATTTCTAAGTTAGGTTCGGAGATGAGTTCAAGAAAGTGATGTTTTCTTTTCCTCAAAGGACAATTGCTTATATAATGATTCATGAACAATTCACATTGTCCCATCATAATATGAGATCTTCTCGTATTTGAGAATAACATGATAGGTTATACCTCGTATTGTCTCAATTTCTTTAAGGTCAAATGCCAAGATTATCCGATAATCAAGGGGAAAAAATCATGAATTGTTCTATTTTCCTATAAATATAACAAGATCATGACAATTATATATATATATGTGTGTGTGTGTGTAATGAAAGATATCACTCTAGACTAAATTAACATTACTAGTTGTATTATTCCAGGTATTCAAGTAGTAACTATAAGATATACACAACGTAAGAGAGACTGATACAAAGAAAAAACAAGAAACATGAGGAAAAAAAATTAAAAGATCTTTTTTTAATGAAAAAAATATTTTTTTATCACTTTTAAGTGGAACATGATATGATTTTCTCTTTTTTTTGTGTTTATTTTTCTCATATGTTGTAAATAATCAATAATTATAATTTGAATATCATAAAATTATGTATTATTTGTACGAAGAGAGCATACTAATCCATAACATTATTCAGTATCAATATTTAACTCTTAATGTCAAAGCCAAAAAGGTTAACTTGCTTTTTTTTGGTGAATGGGGCAATTTTTCTAACCAAAAAGAGAAAAAATATGAAGAAAGATGTGTAAAAGCACAGATGGGATCTGCCATAATAGAACCATCAAACCAACTTTGTTCCATCAATACCTAATTATAATTAGTAAACCAGTTAGCTCACCAAACTTGAACACAATTCTTCTACTTCTCTGTAAACATATTGCACTAGATAGAAAGAAGCAAAGAGAATCAATGAATTAAAATCTGTGGAAATTAAAAGAACAAAGAATTTTCCAATTTAAGGAGGAAAAAATCCTTATGGTCTGTCTATTTTGCAATATTTACACCATTCAATCAAGTTGTAGATCTCATGCAACAAGTTAATGATTCTAGACTTAACTACAATTGGTGAAAGCAAATGAATACAAGTATTATGATATACTCATCAAATGGCAGGGAAGTCCAAAAAATAAAATTATTCCGGTTATTAAACTCGGCCCTACTTGTTAAGTTTTTTAAAGATCAATATGGATCGATCGACCTGGTTTGTAAATTACTTGCAAGGCATTGAGATATTGTCGTCCTTCTTTCTCAAAATGGTTGTAGCAAACATGTGAGTTCAGTCTCATTTTTCCCAACCACCACTCATGACTCGGCCTTTGGTTTCACTCTCATGACCGATGATATCTCAACCCTCACTACAAGTTCAAATGTCTTGGTTTCCACTTTAAACCATCTTCAATGATCTCCTGTAATATCTCCTAGTCTTCTTCACACATGCCTCCTCCATTTTGTTCTCCTTTTTTGTAGAGTCCAAAGTCCATCATGCAAGACCATTTCTTCCCTGGCTAACCTATATAATTAACCTTCACTAACCCGTCCATCTTTTCTCTCCAACAAACATTTTCTTCTTGAGTTATTCGATCATGGCTAGCATGACTTCTTTGTGTTTTGTTTTGGCGTTGGCAATGTTTACCATATTTTTTTCTCCCGCATTTTCTACGTCACGGCGAGCTTTAGAACATCCAGAGATGCAAAAGGGCTTTCGTGTTAGGCTGAAACATGTTGATTCAGGTAAGAACTTGACGAAACTTGAGCGTATTCGACACGGGGTTAAGCGTGGAAGAAACAGGTTGCAAAGGCTCAAAACAATGGCCTTGGTAGCATCTTCAAGTTCTGAGATTGAAGCTCCAGTTCTTCCAGGGAATGGTGAGTTCTTGATGAAGCTAGCGATTGGAACGCCGCCGGAGACATACTCTGCCATCTTGGACACTGGTAGTGATTTGATATGGACTCAGTGCAAGCCTTGTACACAGTGTTTTCATCAATCGACCCCTATTTTCGATCCGAAAAAGTCCTCTTCTTTCTCTAAGCTATCATGTTCTAGCCAATTATGTGAAGCACTACCCCAGTCCAGTTGCAGCAATGGCTGTGAATACCTGTATAGTTATGGCGATTATTCTTCAACACAAGGGATTCTGGCAAGCGAAACTCTAACATTTGGCAAGGCTTCGGTTCCTAATGTTGCATTTGGTTGTGGAGCAAATAATGAAGGAAGTGGATTCAGCCAAGGTGCTGGCCTAGTGGGGCTTGGCCGTGGACCCTTGTCATTGGTTTCTCAACTCAAGGAGCCCAAGTTCTCTTATTGCTTAACCAGTGTTGATGACGCAAAAACCAGCACGCTATTGATGGGATCTCTAGCTAGTGTGAATGCATCAAGTAGCGCTATCAAAACCACCCCTTTAATCCGTAGCCCAGCACATCCATCTTTTTACTATCTTTCTCTTGAAGGAATATCGGTGGGTGACACTCGCTTACCGATCAAGAAATCCACCTTTTCACTCCAAGACGATGGAAGTGGTGGCCTAATTATTGACTCTGGCACTACAATAACCTATTTAGAAGAACGTGCTTTTAACTTGGTAGCCAAAGAGTTCACATCTCAGATTAATCTTCCTGTCGATAGTTCTGGCTCGACAGGGCTAGACGTTTGCTTTACATTGCCATCAGGCTCGACTAATATAGAGGTGCCCAAGTTGGTATTCCACTTTGATGGAGCAGACTTGGAATTGCCGGCCGAAAACTACATGATAGGTGATTCAAGCATGGGAGTTGCTTGCTTGGCTATGGGGAGTTCAAGTGGCATGTCTATTTTTGGCAATGTTCAGCAGCAAAACATGTTGGTGCTCCATGATCTTGAGAAGGAAACTTTATCATTCCTTCCTACACAATGTGATCTGCTTTGAGCTTGTGTAGTACTTAGGTTATTTCTTTGTGTGCTTGTTTGTGTGATTTTACAGAAATTTGCTAAATTTATTAGATGATCTGATTCAATAAAATCAATATTTTCCATCAAGGTTCCTAGTGTGCACATTTTCTAGGCCAGCACCTTGACTAAACCTTCTCTTCCTCCTTATTTCGTTACACTTGAGATGCTACATTTTCAGCTCAGCAAGCCATCATAGGTTATATCAGGAATAAATAAATAAATAAATAAAAGGAAGCTAGCTAACACACACTACCAAAAAATTAATAAATACAAACAAATACACTAATAGAATATTTGTCGGTAGATTGTGGTGGATATTTCTGACTGAATATACCCTCACAGTATCTATTGGTAAACAATAATAAAAAATTCTCTCCTTATATACCGAGAAAATTATAGTGGGAGAAGAAGCTAGGAATGAAAAAAAACCAAAAAGTACAATGACATGTCCTTTTCTTCAAACAAAATTACTAATAGATTTAAATTAGTTGATTAAATTCATCGGTAAATCCATTTGTCAATTTTATTGTTGAGTTGAAATTTTTAGTAAATATATAGAAATTTATAATTATATAGATAATTGATAATGAGTTATTTGTACTATTAAAATGTTTGAATAAGTTTGACTTAAACCAATGTTTTATTATTTTTTTAGTTTACATAATTAATTAATTGATATTGTCATTAATATTCTATATAGGTTTGATATAAATCATAAATGATTGTTTATGGATGTGTTGAGATTCACCAAAAGGGTTGCGTAGAATGAATTATTGTAATGAGGTTCAGAGTTTTATTAACTGTATACTACCTAATCTGAGAAATATTAGTGAAAGTGATATTAAATGTCTATGTAAGAGGTATAAAAATAAAAAATTTCTCGATTCATATGTTGTAACGATGCATTTTCTTCAAAAAAGTTCATGGAGAGATACTCGTATTGGTTTGCATATAAAGAACCATATATTACTCACGAGACCATGGTAGAAAAGATTGTTAGGTCAACTTTTAGTTTTAACAACTTGTATGAAGTTATAGATGACAATAAAGAATATGGTTATAGATGTGATGAAAATGAATCAAGGTTATATTGGTTAATTTACAATAGTAGATTAAAAACCTAACATAAACACGACTAGTTTTTATTTATTTATTATCATTTGAAAGACTTTGACAAAACCATTATGGGATTGATGCATAAATCATAGAATATTATTGGTCGTTGCACATGTGTTCACATTTGAGTTAGATCATAGGTTGAGTAAGGTTAATTACAACATAATTTTTGAATGGGAAAAAATATTTTACATGAAAGGAATAGGCTAAAAGAAAACTTTTATACTGTTAAATCCATAATGAAATCTTTTAGTCTAAGATACTAGAAAATTAAGATGTGTCCACACTTTCACATGTTGTACTACCTTAAGAATACAAAGTTGACCAAATGTAGAACATGTGGGCATACTTGTTATAAACCTATAATTGGTAGGGAAAAGACTCTTGCCGTAAATAGAAAACTCAAATATTTCTCAATCACAACTAGACTGTTGAGATTATTTATTTCATAAAAGCCTGTTGAGCATATGACATGAAATCATTCACATGATATGGTGAATGAAATGATGGTGTATCATTCCGACGGTGACGTGACATGACCAAAAGATTGATATCTTCTCCCAAGTGCAGGAGTGTCGAAGTAATAAATAACCCAACAAGACCAGGATTGAACCATAAGGAGGTTAATTGTATAAATTATAAATAATAATAATACAACAACAACAATAACAACAACAATGATAACAACAACAACAACAACAATAACAACAATAATAATAATAATAGAAGAAAAAAAGAAGAAGAAGAAGAAGTTGATGAGAACATTGAGATGGAACATTAACATAAGGATTAAATAATGATAACAACAAATGTCAAGGTTAGAGGATCCACTAATGGTATATCAAACAAGTATATTATAAACTCTTATCATTCAATTGGAAATCACACACAAAAGAGATTCTAATCATATCATAAATTGTTAATATTATTACATTAGTTATCTTATTCGATTAATACTAATACTTATAAATCTCATTAGGCATTCATGATTATTACTTATGTTAACTGTCATAACCCAATTCTGGGTTATTCCTCAAAATTCATTTCTTTTTCAAAATAAAAATAAAAAATAATAATAAAGGCTAGACCCATGGAGAAAGTAAGCTAGGAAATCAAGTTGCAAATTTTAGAGGAAATTCAAGACCTAATTGTGACCTGTTATGCCTAAAATGAAAACAAATACGAATTTAAGGTTAAATTAAATGATTATTGGATGAATTTGCATAAAAATTAAGTCCAATAACATAATTAAATTTTTAATAGGTCAATTTGATTTAATCATGGGCCAAATTAAATTCTAATTATGTTTAAGAATTAATTTGGATCCAATTAAAGGATTTAATTAAGTGCAAGGACTTAATTATACTTTAAATGGGTCAAATTAATTTTATTTGGGGTTTAATTGGTGAAAAATTAAGTTTTGGAACCTAATTTGGGTTTAATTGAGAAGATTGGAATTTTAAAAGATCAAATTTAATTTTTACCAAGTTAATTGATTGAAATTAAGGGCCAAATTGCAAGGAAATTGAAGTTTTTGGATCAATTAGGGGTTAAATTGGTAAAATTCACAGTCAAAGACCAATATGCAAAAAATGAACTTTTAAGTACTATTAGATATGTATAAAATATGTTTTAGTTAAAGAGTTATTGATACTTGAAGTGCAAAATGATAATATAAAACCTTGATAAAAATAAACTTTTAAGTACTAATCATGAAGCTCAAAAATATTTTAATCGGGTGCATCCTTGAATTTTAATGAATTAAGGAACATTTATATTGGGTTATGTACAAATGAATTCAATCCATTCAGGTCTATTATTGCTTCTTATTCTTGTAAGTCGTTGATATTCACAATTTATAACTTGTCACTAGGAATGTATACAAGGCTATAGTTCATCTTTTTATTTATTTATGGTCATACTCAATCCTAATAGTCCAAGTCAAAATATAGATGTTTGTCTTTGTCCATCGATTAATAAGTTGAAATAGGTGTGGTCATCTAAGGCTTTAACATATAGTGCATCGAGGAAATATAATTTTTAGATTAAAACAAATTTAATGTGAACTATTAATGATTTTCTAGCATATGAAATAGTTTCTGGTTACAACTCACATGAAAAACTAGCATGTCCATACTATATAAAAAATAATAAGGCTTTCACTTTAACAAATAACAGTAAAACATTTTTTTTATTATCATATACGGTTCTTGTTCATAAATACAAAATGAATTATTGTAATGTAGTTTAAGGTTTTATTAATTATGCACTATTTAATCTAAGAAATATTAGTGAAAGCAATATTAGATGTCTATGTAAGAAGTGAAAAAATAAAAAAGTTTATCGATCTAGATGTTGTAACAATGTATCTTTTACAAAAAAAAGTTCATGAAGAGGTACTTGTGTTAGTTTGTACACGAAGAACCACATGCTCCTCACGAGACCATATTAGAAAGGGTGGTTATATAAACTTCTAATTCTAGCAACGAGCATAAAATTATAGATGATAAAAGTAATCCTTATAGAAATATAGTTATAGATGCGAAAGGAAAGAATAAGTGTTATGTTGGTCAATTTCTAGTAGTAAATAAAGAACCTAAAAAGGACGCGATTAGTTTTTTGATCTTTTAAAAGACTCTGACGAACCATTATAGGATGAGTACACAAATCATAAAAAATTACTGATCATTGCATATGTGTTCACATTCAAGTCAGATCATAAATTTAATGAGGTTAATTATGATAAAATTGTTAAATAAAAGAAAAGCATCTTACTTGAAGGGAATAGGCTAAAAGAAAACTTTTATGCTATTAAATCTATGATGAAACCCTTCAGTATAAGATACCATAAAGTTGACATATATCCGAACTTCTATATATTGTACTACCTTAACAATACAAAGTTGACTGAGTGTAGAACATGTGGCATGTTTGTTATAAACTTATAATTGGTAGGGAAAGGACTTTTATCGCACTTAGAAAACTTAAATATTTTCCAATCACACCTAAATTGTGAATGTTATTTATGTCACAAAAGACTAATGAGCACCTGATATGACATCATTCACATGATATTGTGGATGAAGTGATGTGAATGCTTCTGTTGGTGAAGCCCAAAAAACATTTTAATAAGGTGCATTCTTGATTTTTAAAGGAAACAAATAACATTCATCCTTGGGTTATGTATGGACGGATTCGATCCATTCAGGTTATTTGCTGCTTCTTATTCTTTTTTGCCGGTGATATTTATGATTTACAACTTGTCACTAGGGATGTGTATGAGATTGAAGTTTATATTTTTATTTATGATTATACCCAGTCCTAATAGTTCTAGTTGAAACATAGATGTTTTTCTTCATCTATTGATTAATGAGTTAAAGTAGTTATGATCATCTAAGGCTTTGACATATGATCTATCAAGAAAATATAATTTTTATATGAAGGTAGCTTTGATGTGGAATATTAATTATTTTTCTATGTATAAAATAGTTTTTGGTTGGAGCACACATGAAAAACTAGCACTTTCATAATGTATGAAAAATAACAATGCCTTCACGTTAACAAATAACGATAAACCATCATTTTTTGATTACCACATATAGTTTTTGCTAATGAATCACAAGTATAGAAAAAAATAAAAATGACTTCGTTATTGGTAGAATTAAAAGGGATGTTGCATCACCGCTACCTGTCATACCTTTGTGAGGGCGCGGAATTATGATGACCCTTTCCAAAGCGAGAATGGATGTCGAGATCTTTGTTTTGTGAAAAGAGGAGTCACCACCTAGTATTATGGTCACTAGAAAACCTAACTAGTATTTAAAGATTCTAAAGTAAGGGATTAATTGTGTAAAAGAAAGGTTTTAGTACTCCTAGTATGTTATACCTAAAATAAGTTGCTTTGTATTTGGTTTGTTTTATAATTGCTATGACGTTGGTGTTTTCTAATCCTATAATCTTTCGTCAATGTG